GCATGAAGATCGATTCGGTTCTGAACAAAAACACTGACAAATACTGGATAGTTGTTGGTCTTACCAGGTAAGACGAGCACAGCCAGGCCCCAGAAGGTCAGAGAGTCTCCAGCTTCCATTTCTCTGCTCTGAGCTCTTTGTCACTCCCAGTCTGCTCGGAGATGGCAGATAGTATTTGTGTATCTTGAGTGAGAATAAGAATTAACACCCCTTTGCCTTTTCAGCACTATGAATATTAACACATTATCTTCCTTTTTTCCAATTAGCTCTACAAAAATCATTTCTTCTTTTATGATCTAAATTTCACCACTTTGGTGACGCAGTTCCCAGCCCAGTGTCTCATTCCTCTGTACAGACTGGTTCCTGTGATACAAACCACAGCTAATTCTGATGACAGCCTGAGGAGTAACGTGTCACGGACACAGGGCCTCGAGGCCTTCCTCCAGGGGCACCATGCTGCCTGGGACTCAGGCTGAGCCTGGAGTCTGTGTTGATGTGTAACATTAATGTGGATAAGCCTGATGTGTACTTTAGGGTACTGTCTTTGGTCTGTAGTGCACATCATCCTTTTAATGGATCCTATGTTCATCTACACAGTGACGTCCTTCAGAGCCAGTGTGACCAACTGGATCCCACGCTCTCGTTTTGTGTTTAATTTTATTTATTGTTTCTTGTGTATAATAAGCATTCAAGCAAGGGTTTAATTTCACTGACTATATAATGACTAGTGTTGTCGTACACCATACTGGTCATAGTCGCCAGACCACTTTTTTGCAGTCTTGGTCTCATCTTGAAATTGACTTCATTTCCACTCGGTCTTGCCTCAGTCTTGGATATAGAGGACTCAAGGTTTTATTTCAAGACCAGTCAAGACCACTCATCAAAAATCTCAATATTTATCATAACGGATTAATATGTTTATTAACCAAGAAATCCCGACAAACGCAAAACTTGTTGATTTTCATACCCATTAATCTCAGGCTTGTAACTTTGGATAGGTGTAATGCAGACAAGAATCACATATCTTTGCAATCGAGAGAACTTACTCAATCCAGTTGTCCAAGTTTACATTACACGCTAAATATTTCAGAGTAGCATTTATTTATATCTGTAACACTTTTCTTAAAACAGTCATTATATTGCATTACACATAACTTCATAACACATAATAAACAGGGTTATAACTATTCATAAAAAGGCATAACAAATTACAGTCATGTGTATTATGCATTATTCAGTGCATTATTGATGAGACCTGTGTGGCACAGAATGTATTTTGTGCACGAAAATGAGCGCTTCACACTTGGTGCTCCATATAAGAGCAGCAAGAATTTCATTGTGTGACATTCTAATGTGAAAATGAAACCCGATTAGCTGAATTCTGTCCATTATATGGTCTCTCTGTATCTGAAGTATGTAGAGATGCATATGAATTTATAGTAAATAGATAACACAGATTTACAAAAAAATTTTTTTCCAGTTTTCAGTTTTTGAATGGGTTTAGGGTATTTTGAGGGTGCTGAATTCAAAAATCACTTCCTAAAGAGCAAATGATCAGTAGTGCACATTTTATGGTGGGTTTATGTTGTGACCCATTCAATCTTATTAATGGGATTGATCAGAATCAGGTTTATTGGCCAAGTGTGTGTGTGGAATTTGTTTCCAGCAGTTGGTGTCTCTCCGGTACAATACAACAGAACAAAAGATTACAGATTATATACAATATAAGACGTCTTATTTACAGACAGACATTGTACATAAACAACATACAAAGTGCAGAGTGTATGGGGTCTTAGATTCAGTTTAATGGTGTGTTGTGAGTAGACCAGGGTGTAGCAGTCAGGGAAACAGGAGTAGGTTAATGTTGCAGGTCAGAT